CCACAAGATTAAATGGAAATATAATACAAATATAATACAAAAAAAACTAATTTTCGGCCTTGATGTTCACATTCATAATTAAGTAAAGATAACACCCTTTTCACCCCGGTTACATTTTCCATGTGCCCTGAGAGGCTCAGTGAGGTAAAGGACTCTGAGTGTTTAGATAGTTCACTTTAGTCTAAGTTATCTCAGTGGGTCTCAAACGGTTTGATCACAATTTATGTAAACACATATTTCCAAGGCAGACCTTTATAATTATTAGGATAAATAAAAACAGGTTTGAAATCATTCCAATGTATACTAAAGGACAGTAAACCAACAATATCCTTTAAAACTGGAGAGATTAAAAAATATGAATAAATAAATGTTAACTGATAAAGTAAGATATAATTGAATCAGCAAAAATCTTGCCTAGGGCAGCAAATGGGTCAGAACCGGCCCTGGTGTCATCCCCACAGCACCCCCCATTTGAAACATGTTCCCACGGCTATGTACAACAATACGCCCAAGCTGCCCCTCCTTAAAAATGTTCACAGCTAGTATCTACCTCATTGTTTTGAAAACTAGGTGTGTCTTGTTCTTGTTCAATCAGATGTTTAATGATTCAACATGTTTTTACACTTTCCTGTTTAGATGTGTTTGTTCTCATTGGGCCGTATGGAACAACATGTTCTATTCCAATGCTCAGTTGCTCTAGGTTGGATTTCCTACTAACGTAATAGACACTTTGGACATTTATTAATCCTAGTAGATTGTGAGTCATCACTAGGCAAGGCAAGTTTATTTATAGAGCACCTTTCAACACAAGGCAATTCAAAGTGCTGTACAGAAATATAAGACAATAAGATCTAACAACACTAACATGTGTCAAATTTGTCTGAAAATGATTTAGAAATGTTGCTTCATTTGGATGGAAAATGTGCGAGGCGAAAATGTACCTCACTCTTAGTTTATGAAATCATCAACTCACTATATAAAAAAATGAAAATTGGCATCAACAGCACGGAAACCGGTTGCAACCATGTTGTCAAAGTAGCAGAAAAAGAGGCGATGTGATGTACTGCCCGCTTGTTTGTTTGAGAGCTTGAACAACAAGTGAAGAAATGCATGGATGAAATGTTGATGTGTGGTTCAGTTGCCTCGATATGCATTGAATACAAACTGATGATTATTTGGAATGCATTTATGTGAAGCAGTATTTTATTGGTGTTGCTGGTTAAGATAAGTATGATGTAACTAATATGTAGCTTTATCAATAATGCCGTGCCACATTTGATAAGCTATTTGTTTTGAATGTAAAGTAGTGAGTTTAAACTAACAGAGATTTCATAAGTAGAGCTACTTCCTTAGGCCCGGGCAGCCGGAAATATGTTTTGTGTGCACAATTTTGGGCCTTTGGGGACTCCGTAGAATCACCGCAGACAATTACATTTCAGGAAGTTACTTTGGAACTTGCATGTAAAGTTTCACGCTAGTTTTTGCTAAATGAAAGTTAAAACGTTTCACTATCACTCATATCACTTTGTCTGATCTCTCTCTCTCTCTCTCTCTCTATCTCTCTCTCTCTCTCTCTCTCTCTCTCTCTCACTCTCTCACTCTCTCGCCCTGTAATGAGTTGATTCAACTTCTTAATGTCAGTCTAAATAATACAATTATGTTGGTGCATCATGGCATGTGGCTCATTAAAAAAAAAGTACAGCTATGATCTACCTCTTGTATAACTGGTCGGCCCCACCTGCATTAGCACAATGGACGAAACAAATACATTAAAGTAAAACCACTTTCCAGCAGTCAGCAGCACATTGTAAAAGCTGTTGATACAACTGTTCACATTCATAATTAAGTAAAGATAACACCCTTTTCACCCCGGTTACATTTTCCATTTGTCCTGAGAGGCTCAGTGAGGTAAAGGACTCTGAGTGTTTAGATAGTTCACTTTAGTCTAAGTTATCTCAGTGTGTCTCAAACGGTTTGATCCCCGAAGCTCTGGAACACTCTGCCCCTCCATGTGAGGTCGGCCCAGACCCTAGGGGTTTTTAAATCTACACTAAAAACACACTTCTTCTCTCTGGCCTTCTAGTCAGAGCGGAGCACGACTCCTGACTTTTCCCTGTGTTTTATTTTATTTTTTTATATATATCTGTTGTAATTTATTGTCTTTTATTGTGATTGCAGTAATGTGTTTTTATTACATGTACAGCACTTTGGCTCGACCAAAAATCGCTTTTAAATGTGCTTTATAAATAAAACTTGATTTGATTTGATTTGATTTGATCACAATTTATGTAAACAAATATTTCCAAGGCACACCTTTATAATTATTAGGATAAATAAAAACAGGTTTGAAATCATTCCAATGTCATTTCATTTCATTTCAAACCTTTATTTAACCAGATGGTCCCATTGAGATCATAGATCTCTTTTTCAAGGGAGACCTGCAGCATATAGGTTCCACATGGAACATAAAACAATAAAGGACATCATACATTATATTTACAGGATACATTTACATAGTTATAGACATTTACAAGTACCCATAGTATCAACGAGCATTTCATTTAGCCTAGCTTTAAAAACATGCAGAGGAATGAGATTGCTCAGTTTCAATTCTTGCTGAAGATTGTTCCAAGCAAGTGGAGCTGCGCACATAAAAGCTGTCTTATACCTAAGACAGTCCTTGCTCTTGGCACATGTATACTATAGGACAGTAAACCAACAATATCCTTTAGAACTGGAGAGATTAAGAAATATGGATAAATAAATAAACTGATAAAATAAGATATAAATGAATCAGCAAAAATCTTGCCTCGGGCAGCAAATGGGTCAGAACCGGCCCTGGTGTCAGAACCGGCCCTGGTGTCAGAACCGGCCCTGGTGTCAGAACCGGCCCTGGTGTCAGAACCGGCCCTGGTGTCATCCCCACAGCACCCCCCATTTGAAACATGTTCCCACGGCTATGTTTTCATATTTAAGTTTGTAGCAAGTAGAGGGCTGCTGGCAGGCCCGGACTGGCCATCGGGAGGGCCGGGAGGTTTCCCGATGGCCTAGCGATTTTTTTTTTTTAATGTAGGCTATTGTGAACGCAACGCTGCGCAAATGTGGGTTTGCCTCACACAGGGTGACTGTCTGTCTACATGATGTGGCCTCTGTTTCATATGGGTGTTTCCATAGATCTAGTCTCTTTACTTTCCCTTAAAAATGCACCAGATTGATGCATTTAACTCCAAAATTAAAAAAATATCTTACCAGGGGGGGCATGCCCCCGGACCCCCCTAGAGGATTTGAGGTCCACCCCCAAAATATGTTCACATGGATAGGTTCCCAAATACATTTGCAATTTTTTTTAAATAGTAACCCCTGTCCATATGTTTATTATTGGTGTGTGTGTGTGTGTGTGCGTGCACGCGCGCGCACGCGTTAGTTTCAAAGACCCCCATAGAGCTCAGTTTATAACTCGAACCCTGAAAGTAGAGACACTACATACTGATATACACCTGAACATCAGCAGGAGAGGACTCTTTAAAGTAGAGACACTACATACTGATATACACCTGAACATCAGCAGGAGAGGACTCTTTAAAGTAGAGACACTACATACTGATATACACCTGGACATCAGCAGGAGAGGACTCTTTAAAGTAGAGACACTACATACTGATATACACCTGAACATCAGCAGGAGAGGACTCTTTAAAGTAGAGACACTACATATGATATACACCTGAACATCAGCAGGAGAGGACTCTTTAAAGTAGAGACACTACATATGATATACACCTGAACAGTTATTTTTGTACAAGGAATACACTTTTGTTAACATTTACACTGACTCCCTCGTTGTATTGGTTGTTGTGTGTTATTGTCTCCAGGTCGTAACAGAGAAAAACTCGATCATGAATTCAGCTGCATACAGTTGAGGTGATCACAACTACAGAAAAGACTAAGTAATGGCAGGTGATTGTCTCCAGCGGCCGGGACTGAGCTGGAATCTAATGCAGGTTAGTATTTTATTAGTCACAAGGGACATTGACATGAGGAACAGTGTGTATGGTATATGCCGTGTAAGCCACGCATAGTATCCCATTAGCAATACACTGCTCTCTTAAAACTGTGGAGTCCAGATGTCTTCCCTCCAGTAATGCTTGGAAACATCCATGGTCGAAAAGTCCAACAACATCTGACCCAAAGGAGTCACAGAAATATATTCCAATGGGAACCAGGAACACTGAGCTCGTTGTTGAAGAAGCAGGGTCATGATTGGCAAGTGGAGATCAAACGCCACGGTGTTTGAGAGGGAGGTACAAATAGTCGTATCATCTGCAAATTCCCTAAAAATGCTGTTTTTTTTTTCAATTGCATAAATGTTTGTACTGTAGGGATGAAAAAGGTGTAATGTAGTCTTATAGATTTAAAAACATTCAATATGATTTCCATAACAGTGCCTTCAGGGCCTTTGCAATTAATCGTTAACATTACAAAAATGTACCTTCTAATTAAAAACATGTTTCTTAATGTATAATTATCATTGAAGTTACTAGAGACAGTAGTTGTGTATCTTCCTCTCAGCATAAAGCAGAAGGTACTGTGTGCTTCACCTTTTTAGTCTCCTCCTCCTATTTGTACGCACACTTGATACCAGCAAGCAGAAGACCCAAGATCACACTTCAGAACACAGAGTGAAAATACAAGTATTTACTTAAATGCGGGCACAGTTCTATAGACGGATAATCAGTCCAGCAAGTAAAGGTATCCTAAACGTGATAAGAGTTTAAAATACTGACACATGATCAAAAGGTCATGAGAAGAACACTTCAACGTTGACTAAAACTGAAAAGACTAAATGCCACAGATAAAGGGGGCACCAGGGGGTTACGCCCATTGTCCCTTCATCAAAGCACGGTTAATGGTTCCTAATGGCGAAGTCCATATATTGATATTACACCGTGCCTTTTGAGAAAATATTAGCAAAAAGCAGTGAAAACTGGGAAATATTTTTTTGTCCAAATCAAACATTTTATTTAAAAGACTCGGAAAAGTCAAAATTCATTCTTTGTCATTGCAAATCTCTTTCCTCTAGCAAATCGATATCCTTATCCTCCTCCATTGATAACATGTCCTTATTCATTGACTGAGAATGTGCTGGCATCTGTAAACCATTTTCTTTCTACTTCTTTCTTTCCCATCTCCCACATTTGAGTAAGAATCCGAGACCCATTTTTGGCTGTAACCAGGAGATAGTCCTCGTTGTCTGGGTACTTTTTTAAATTGTGCCGGCCATAAACCAGAGACTGGCACAACGGACCGAGCACCAGCAGGTAGAGGCATTCCCTTTCGTCTTCATTGAGTACCATGACGCTCTCCCAACCTGTAAGTATTGCTCCACCTACATCCAATGGACTGGGGTTCTCCAGCATCATGTACGCGATTGTTCCTGCCAGTTCAAATACATAGCAATCATTCATGAGGGAAGAAAAGTCCAGCACGCCTGACACCTCATGACGACCGTTGCCTACAGGTGTCACAATGATGTTTTTGTCGTTTGTGTCTCCATGTATTATTCCTATGAAAGAAATAGAATAAACTTTGTGTCATTGAATGCACCTTTTTCATAGAGGAAAACAAGCAATTGATATATGTTAAACAACTGAAACAATTTCATAACATTCATCTGCTACTTAGTAATGATCTATTATCTAATATAGCATTCCAATAACTTGTATATAGACTCGTATTGCACTATTACACGTTTTTTAGAACTATTTATCTTTTTGTATGACTTTTAATATAATATACTTTAATATTGTCTGCTTATCTGTATTATTGTGTTGCATTGTTGGAGAAGCCTGTGACCTAAGATTTTCAACGACATAATTACTCTGAGGGTGTTTCTCAATGTCGAGTAAAGCTGCTTCAGAGCCACTATTTCAAGCATCCTACGTCATCGAGTGCCGCCGAAGTACTGTTCCAATCTCCAGTATACTTGGAAATCTACCGAGCCCGGCGTACTCCGTTTGGAGAAATATCGAGGCTGCACATGTGTAGACTCCGCGGTCTTAAAATCCCCACAATGCTTTGCGCACGGACCAATTTCCCCAAATCTGTGGCGGAAGATGTAAGAGGCGGGGCCTCTCATATGACGCACACCTGCACACTTGCTAGCCTGTTCCACTCTTCGTTTTCCGAATGGCAGGAAGTATTCTTGACTCGCTTCTGAAGCAAGATGCTCGGCAGACATGTGCTACCAAGCAAGCGTACTCGCGATTGAGAAACACCCACAAGCTATGTTAGTTTGACAATAAAGAACCTTGAACCTTGAACCTTGAACGTTACCATAGTGTTTGTCTCTTTTGGATTTGCTCTGATCAATTCAACGTAAGGGGCATTGGAAGAGAAATTGGCCACCCTTATTGCCAATAGAAATTGTGAATTGATTGTAATCAAGGTCCAAGGGGGACATCATTGTGTGAAACAAATTGCATGGTAATCCAACCAATGGCTGAGCAATTCCAATCACAACAGGATCAGTCAGTCAGGAGTAGGGTGACCAGATGTCCCGCTTTGCGCGGGACTGCACTGCATTTTCACGACTTTTGGTGCGTCCCGCAAATTGAGACGATGTCCCGCATATTTCATTTTGATTGGCCAAAACGCTTTTCTGCGGAGAAAGGCCGGCTCGGTTTGCTGACGGCCGGCACCGCCCATTATTATATGTTTTAAACGGCATTATGTAAGTTGCGCTGACAGGCGACAGAGGTCCACAGTGTACCCCGCCCCCCCCCCGTTGACAGTTCATGCGTCAACATTACATTTACATGTCCCACATTGTCCCACACAAACATACTCTCTGTCCCACTTGTGGCTTTCTGGCACCTGGTCACCCTAGTCAGGAGACCCGAGACAGAAGGACTCATCCTTTGGGGATGTGTACAGAATATGACCTTACCCTGTCGAGGAGATGTTTCACTACGAACAAATGTTGTGGACCAATAGAGGAACATTAATACTCGATACAGCAGTTTTAAGCTAATTGGAAGATTGTGGTTAAAATAATGGTTAAATGGTGACAGCTATTGCACATGGCCCATAGACTGCACGTGGTTGTGGCTCCCTGTACAAAGGACACACCGCTTCCAGCATTGTCGTTGTGTAATTGTCAAATATCATTCTTTAGCATTCTCGACTGGATTAGCATGCACCCTGTAAACAATTACAGGATCATAATTTAACCGAACAAGCAGAATATTAAACAGAGTGAAATATTTAAAGTGGACCTATCATGCTATATTATAATAATATAGTGTAGGACCATACCTATATAAGGCATATTTATACTTTTTTTTCCTTCAAAATACCAAACAGATCATGCATTTTAGCCATGCCTCATTTCGCTCAATTTGACAATTTGTAGCTCTGTTTTAGCAAGGGCTGATTCTGTGAGAACAGCACCATCTACAGGCCTGGCATATGTACTACAGCGTCTCCAGCGCTTTCGAACGGCAATGGCCGTGGCTGTCTCCTCCTGATTGGTGGAGTTGGCCCAATAGCCGTAGCGCCACCGTCCTGACGTCAGGACAGTGTTCAAATCTGGATCAGTTTTTATCAGATCCGTTGCAGCCCCTTTTTTAGAGATTTGGGTATGGAGGAAAATAGAGAGGGTTGTGTTTTCTGACACTTGGTGAGTTCCCTGGAACACCGGGGACACATATTCATGTAGAAAAGACGTACAAAAGTGCATTTTGCATGAGAGGTCCCCTTTAACCAAAGGAATGCAGAACATAACAAACCTTTTTGGAAAGAGCCGATTTTGGGAAGCACGTATGATTTAAACTGTTCGATGACTGCTTTGATCACTTCCTGCAGGGGTTCTCCATCCATCACTGATAGGCAGCGCTCGACAAGATGGACGTTGGATAAACTCCATTCTTCATCACAATTATTGTGTAAGACATCCAGGTTTGGAGATTCCAGCTTGGAGACAAATGGTAATGTTTTCAATAGTAAGGCAAGGCACGTTTACATACAGCACCTTTCAACACGAGGCAATTCAAAGTGCTTTACCAAAATGCAAACAGCATTAAGAAATGGTGCAGCAGAAACATAATATCAAATGGCCTTTTTAAAACACATTTAAAAGCAAGGATAATAAAACATGAATAACACAGGTACATGAATAAAAGTACATAAAAAGTAGTAAATCATTTTGTATGATTTTTTTAATCAAAACCTTTTGATCAGTCAGACGTAAAAAAGATCAAGGAACATTTTAAGTGGACATACAGTAGCTAGCGTGTTAGCTAATATGTGTCCTATAGCTCGACATCAACTACTGACAATATGCTGCATGTGTATTAGAAATATTTGGAAAGATACAAGTTTTACTTTTCCACTTACTTTTTGCAATGTCTTGTCCATGAAAGCAATGAGCCTGCCCACATGATAAAGGTCTTGCATAGTGCCTGGAGATTCTGCAAGTGTTTTTCCAGGAAGATAAGTCATCAGCCTCACACAGTAGGTCTGAGCCCCATGTCCGCAGTCTAATAAGGCAAGGTGGATACACAGACACAAAACATCTTGAGGTAAGTATCATAGCTTTAAGGATTCACATGGCACTGTCTCATAGTGGACAAAAGGCCACGCCTGCATTTTCTCTCGGATAATTAACACTGGGCTTGAGATGTTGGTTTCATTCAATCATGATGAGTATCATTTGTGTTCAGTCAAAGATATAATACTAATATAAGAACTATAGAACAATACATTTCAGATAGCCAACCTGGTAGACTGGGCAGCTCATGTTCAAATCAGACCTCCTTTTCCTGTGATCTATATCTCTCTAATAAAGGCAAAGGGCCAGAAGGAATAGTCTTTACAAAAAGGTTCTACACTTCCCACTCTTATAGAGAGGCGAAGTCCCGCCCATCTACTTCCGCCCCATGGGACCTCATTTCGGAAAAAGTATGTATTGAAGTCAATGGAGAGAGAAAAAGATTATCTCTCGATCCCGTTTGAATTGTGCCACGAATTACACATATGATGTTTGTCAATCTTAAATAATCATTTCCATTTCCAGAAAAATACGCAACTGGAAAGACTACAAATCCCAGAGTCCCGGTCCCGCATGCTGGCTCTTAGGAACCGACTAACTCCCCTTGTGTGTATGCACAGCTCTCAACATGCTCAGACTTGGAGTGATTTTCACCTCTTTTAATACTTTTCGCCTCATTCTGAGAGAAAGAAGTGAAATGTGCCAACGTGACGGCCGTCTGGGTGTGTGGTGTGAGACGGGAGATGGAGTTCATTGAGCGGTTTCACACAAACAATGTGTTACTTCACAGTTTTACCACACATTTTTATTTTTTTGACTTTCAAAATTATCTTTTAAATTGACAAACATCATATGTGTAATTCGTGGCACAATTCAAATGAAAAAAGATAATCTTTCTCTCTCCATTGACTTCTATACATAATTTTTCCAAAATAAGGTCCCATGGAGGTCCACCAGAAGGGGACGGCCTCTCTATAGTCCTTTTACAGTCCAATGTTGTCAGTAAATGCACTATCATCTGATAAATAATGATTGAACTTATTCCTATATATTAGTATCTACATATATATTCAAACACAGTACATTCACACAGTTACAGTGTATCCAAATGATTCATATTCAGGTATAAAAGTGTACTGCTTGTCCTGTTTAAGATAAATATATAGAGAGAATGGCGATGCTTCAGAATATATGATGTAGCATGTTTCTTTGATCAAATGAACTTTTTAATAGTTCACTGTGGTGTTTTTCAACATTTTATTTGATCATTTGTGAACTTCTTTTTTTCTTTCTCTACTGAATGCCTTCAAGCCATCAGTGCGTTTGACGTCATTTCTAAACCAACAGATATAGCTGGCCGTGTGCCTCCGGTAGCAGGAAATCAAGCAACAATGCACATGCCGCAAGCAAGTAGCAGCAAATATATTTTAAAAAATGGACACCTACCTACGTTCATGAATGATGGGTGATTTAGACTCTAGTCTGTGGAAATGATTATAATTGTTTCAAGTTAATACAATACCATATTTTTTTTATTTAAGTAAGATGATACATACTTAATCACGTTGTTAAAGGATTGGGTCAAAGGCTCCTTCAGACATTAGTTTTTTTTTAGTTTTTTATGACTTAAGCAAAGTTACATTTAATACAATTGGACTGTAGGGATGTTTTTGCTGTTACCTATTTCCTCCATACTCAACAGCTTCCCCGTGGTGGTGGGCAAGGCGGTTTGAGCAGGAACTCCATGCTGGCGTAGAAAGGACAAGGCAAAGGTCTGAACCTCCAGCTTAGTGGCATTTTTGCTGCCTTCTGAGTTCATGATCTTCAGGACATACTTGGTACCATCTGTGTCCACAATGAGGAAGTTCTGGTCAATATAACTAGGCAGGGTGGAGATCTTAGTTATGGTCACTCCATAAAGTTGCGCTGTCAGTTGAGTTGCCTGCTGCGGGGTGAGCGTTGGCCTTCTTTCTGCACATAAGAGTAAAATAGCAACACAATTTTGCACATGCTTTTGATGACCTGCAAATCTGCCAACGTTCACACCACCACCAGAAACATTTGTTTGAGTTTGTCATAAGAGGTTCAAGCAGGGCCGCCCCTCCCGACTCGCAGATGACGCAGACTGCGTGGGGCCTCATCTGGCGGAGGGGGCCTCATCTTATGCGGCAACAGTAATACAAATAGCTGAAGATGTAACAAACTAATAATTATTATTCTTATTCTTAAAATCAATGTGGTGTACGTCTTTGACGTGCCTTTAAAAATGGTGGCGGTCTTCAGGTGCTCCTCCAGCACAGTGTGCAGGGAGGAAACAAAATCCACCAATCCCCTGAAAATGCCAGGGTTGACTGAAGAGCCAGTCTCGTCACGCCCACACGCAAAGCCAACTCAAAAGCCCCACAAAACTTCATTATTTTGGATAAAATATGCCTGTTGTTATCCACCTCCTCATTGTGTTTCCCCACCGCAATCCTGTGGCCGTCGTCCAGCTGCGTAGCAGTTGCTTACTTGGGGCGATACAATAATCGCCCCTCCGGAAGCAGTTTTGAGGACGCTGATTGGCTATATTTTATGACACACGTTCATATCTTGAATCAGCAATTGGCTAACCTGCTACAAAGACCCGCCTCCGTGGGGCGATTTCTCCATCGCCCCAGCACAGTACTTCAGTCATACCGTGTACTAGGAATTTGGAAAAGCATATATTTTGCGCAAATTATTTTAAAATCATATTTTACACATGTTTCTGGGTGCATTCCATATTTTAAACAAATATTGACATTTTATATAATTAATTAGTATTATTATTATTGTTATTATTAATAATAATGTTTATGTGTGTGGTTTAGGGAGGGCGACGCCCTATCGCTCTCTTTGGGCCAGCCGCCACTGGTACAGACCCTTGGGTGGGGTCACAAGTTGGCCAGGGGCAGCCCTGAGTTCCAGTGAAACTAATGAAAGGCTTTGAGCAAGACTGACAGGTGACACGAGCGTGCTCTCTCTCCCCCCCCCCCCCCCCAGATTTGTGTAAAGGCCGACGGGTAATACTGGATTTTGACGGGAATTTTACGATCCTGTTCGTCCTGTCTGACGAGTAGCGAAAAAGTCTAGTGCAACCCTTACACATATATTTAAAAGGAAAATGAGAACACTTTGGATAAAGTTAATTATGTTTCACTGCTATACCTTTTCCAGGTTGAATGTTTAGCTTTCCAAAAACCCTTGTTCTTACTCCAAAACACTCTCGTTCTGTTCTTTTCCTCTGATCTTTAATAACAGATCGTAGATAGTTGATAGATAGATGGCTGCACTTTGGTTAACAGACTAACATTGATTTCCTCAATTTATAAATTGACAGGCTCTGTAATTATACCATAACCTTTTCTCCTCTATCCCTTAACTCGTCTTCCTATACAGATTTACTTACTATCTACTCTAGTCATGTCAGAATTAAAGAACAATTATTTTCAGGATTGAATGTTCAAATCAAGGCCTAAAACCTGGCATTTCATAAGAAAGTGACTAATATATAAACCAAATGTAATATTGGATCAAATACCACACCAAATGGACAGACACAGATTAAAAATAAAAATAAAGTCCCCTGGTTTGTCTCTAGAGTCTGGAGCCATGAGAAAAATCAAATCAATGTTCCAAAATCCGTCACTAGATGTCGCTCATTGTACCCATACGGTTTATATAATACATAACATATTATTATTCTAGTAAAAGGGCTCGCTTTGGCAAAAACCTGATCCATACAGGCAGCCCTAAATAATAACATGTGTGGTGCTATCTGTGATTTCATATTGTTTTCACAGTGCTGTGCAAATGAATTTCCCCCTGGGGACAATACATCTAAACTAATTTAATATTCAATCCCACACATGACGATTGAGAACATAAATTCGTAACATACATCGTTTAAAGCACTTTTGTTGTAATACTATGGATTTAGTTGACACTACTAGCAGAGTTTATTTTGTCCAATATTTCGCGGGCAGGTACATTGAAGTAGAAGTAGAAGAAGAAGAAGAAGTAGGTAGAAGAAGAAGTAGTAGAAGAAGAAATACGCCAACGCTACAAACAGGCACAACACTGTTACTCTGTTTTTACTGACATGTAACATTTCATTTCACCTTGCTCTATGTTTTTTAACGCACATTCAAAAACGGGAACATTTTCGGGAGTTTCAACCGGGTACCGGCCACCGAAAACGGGGACTTTGCCCGGAAAACGAGGATGTTTTGGTCACCCATCCGACTGTGTTTACAGCTAAGCACACACGCTAACATTAATTAAGACTACAAGCTCACTTGGGGTTGAGGCTTTTTTACACGTTGCTTGACTGCCTGCCCACATATCTGATCTAAACGTAGTAACGTGTATTGGGGAAGATAATTATTTAAAGTTATTATTTAATAATTGTGACATTTATTGTACTTTTTGATGGATGAATGATGCTCAAGGTGAGGGGGCAAAGAATACAACTTTTGCCCCCTCGTGGCGCTGGGCCCGCTTTGGTGTCCCCATCAGAATCACTCAGTCATCATGAAAATGTAGCAGAATAATGAAACTCTGAGGTCTTATTATAAATGGCCAAACATTTACACACATACATGCGTTTGATCTACTATAACTACCAGTCATTTAACAGAAAACATATGCACTTACCCATTGTCTTTCAGCAGATAATGTAGGAGATGAGGGACAGTAGAGAATGTGGCTCAGCCTCTCACAAGCAATTGAACAGGACTTGTGACTTTGAGGAGGAGTCAACCAGAGCAGCTTGGTCCAGTCCCCTCCAAAACTATTGGAAAAGCGAGGCTAATTGCTTTATTTTTGCTGTACACTGAAAACAATTGGGTTTGCAATTAAAAAATGTATACGAGACAAAAGGTCAGTATTTCAGGTTTTCATTCCAGGTTTTTACATCTACAGATCTACACCTCATTTCGGACGCCCCTACCGTGGTGGGTCCGTGACCGTGACAGTACAGTGTTAATAGTTTACTGTATTATTATTATTAGTGTTTAATATTACGGCTATAACAATCACACATTGAGTTCATTGTTGTGCAATGATAACATTAGACCGTTTTTTTTTTTTTTTTTAAATAGTCTGAATGAAACTCGGCCGATTTGTAATCATAATTTAAGGCTAGACACTACAGGTGAATAGGGTAATTTTTTTTAACTTAAAGATATCAGCTAGAAATGTTGTTTTTTGTATTACAAGTTTTCTGAAATAGCATGTTTAAATATGCAAATGGCCATCATCTCATTAAATATGCGCATATTTTAATACATTTCAGGAACACAAATCTGAACATTGGATAAAGCCAAGTTCAAAATTATTCTTTCATTTTGTAGTCATATTAGAATCTAAGGCTTTTACGGAAGGGATTTTGGATATCTCTTTTTATCACTAAATAAATCAGAAAATACTGTCAACAGCCCTAAAATATCAATTTTCGCCATGTTTTTAGGTATAAAATGTTATATGATTCAGGCTATGAATGATATATGAACAAACTCTTCAGTAAAAGCCTTCAGAATATTGATAGGAATATAACTGGAAGGTTTGGTGTATCTACGTGCTACTGAAGTGGACATTTCTGACTCAGAGAAAATGATCTTTAAAGATTGCTGTGTGTTGCTACCTAAACCCTCCTGCTCTTTGGACGACAGCTTGCGCAATACTGAAGGTATTTCATGTTCGGGGTCATTTGTTTTTGTATAACCTTGCTTCGTGCAAGTGACAATTGTTGTCGTCTTCTCTTTTCGCTTTTTGAGACATTTTGAGATTTAAATGTACAGCGGAAAGCTAACCAGCACACCACATGACCCATCTGAACGAATCACGTTGTCAGAAATTGACACCAGCCAATGACATTTCGTTTCTTGGTTTAACCCCTTTGTACTTTGATTGGTTGCTGATACAAAGGAAATGACCATATTTGGATCCGATGAGATTGTGCAAGAGAGACGGAGCTTTCCAACGATACCTCGTTATGTGACTGCTTTAAAAAGCCACACTAAAGTGCAAACACAAGCACGTGAGTTAAATAAGGACTGCTGTTGGCACCACGTTATAACATGAACACGTGTTTCAGCCCCAAACACCTTGTTTAGTTTCCATTTTGAATTTCTCTTTAAGCACACATCGTAAACATCGGTCAGTTCTGGGATTAGCTTGTTTCTCAAAATAGTATGGAGGTAATTATATGCATAGTGCAGTTTCTCAGCACATTCAACCTGTAAGGTTTAATGAGGGAAGCATAGGACTACATGTGTTCTGTATGTCTAAAAAAAAAAAAAAAATGGCATACTATGAAAGTTATTTGGGCACTGTGGTAAAAACTCAATATGGTCTAGCTGCAGCCGCACGACGGTGGCTGAGAGACATTGATACCGTACATGGCAGATTAAAAACGAATTGCAAATGTTATTGTAGCATTTTAAGCAACTATTAGGCAAATTTAATAATCTAGTCTATCCGTTTGAGACACATCAGTATGACTTTAAGCACAAACCATTTTGTCTAATTAATAAATTAAAAGGGGGCTTAGTCAACTTTATTTTAGTACACATAAAATAGGTAATAATGAGATCTATTTATGTTTGTCTAACTGCTACACATGTATTTATACATAAATGTAGATATTTATGAACATCTGAATATAGTTGTTAAAGGTTTTAAGATATAAATAATCACATCATGGGGTCATTAAGGTTTCAAACAGGTTCATGTAAGGTAGGCCTACTATAACATGATTTTTAAAACTTCTGAATCTCACATTAGCCTGAAGTTTGGTATGTTATTGATATGGGCTGGACACTCCTTCACAATGATCATTGACTTTTTTTTTTATAGACCAAATTATGAGGGCCAGTCAGGCCACTCATGAGTTCAATAATTAACATGTATTACTTTATAGATTAAGAGTACAAGGGGTCTATTTCAAAACCTTTGAAGGAATCGTCATGCATTCTGAACAGTTTCTGTACCTTAAAATCATGGCTCAAGAGCCTGTTCTTGTTTAAGATTATTCATACTCGTTTGTGAATTTAACATCCATATTCACTCCTCAAAACTGAAACGCCATAATTCAACTGAAAAACCAATACAAAAATAAATTTAAATTATACATTTATATCTACATTTAAATAAATACCAATAAACAAGAAAAAATATTTGGGAGCGCACTTCAACAAGCTACTAAATATATATATACAAATAAATTTGATCAAATATGTTGCAGTGCAGTCACAACCTAGCAAAATAATCGTTTTTTCGATTATGTTATTTTCGTAATTGTGGCAGGCCAAAATCGTAATTGCACAGCCCTAGGTAGCATCATCTACACAGGTTAATAAAAGACACCAGGCACAGGATTCAGTTCACTCTTTATTTCCACAAACACAGCCTTGATGTCTCTGAAGCTCAGCACCTGAGAAGAGAAGAGAGGAGTTAGCAGCAGCCTTCCTCCAGAGCACAGATCAGAGAGTCTGCTCTGCATCAGAAAACAGTTCTCTTTCACTCGGACTCAGAGAGATTCCCAATGTTTAAACAGATCATCAGCTACAGCTTTCAGAGACGTGCAGGTATCAGAGAGAGCTTCACCTGATGAGGCTGATCCCAGAGCAGATCCTGGTCCTGAAGGGGAGGGGCTTCACCTGATGAGGCTGATCCCAGAGCAGATCCTGGTCCTGAAGGGGAGGGGCTTCACCTGATGAGAGGCTGATCCCAGAGCAGATCCTGGTCCTGAAGGGGAGGGGCTTCACCTGATGAGGCTGATCCCAGAGCAGATCCTGAAGGGGCTTCTTTGGACAGAAACACAAACTCTCATTAGAACCAAAGGTAGAAACTCAGCAGAGACGTAGGGAGCGCACACAGCCTCAGAACATAATGGAACGGTAGGGGTATAATCATGAGAGATCATTTGGCAGAATCTTTTCATCACAGGTAGTGTTCATAGAAACTCTGATCACTCCTGATGAGACGCACCTTAGCTTCAAGTCCTCAAACGTCCCATGTTCAGTCTGACAGAGGAGGGTCTTTCCTGGAGGAGAAGGGACAGAAAGTCTTATTTAAAAACTACATTTATACGAGAGCACAGTGACAGAAAAGTAGCAACAACTAAATGTTCAGAGAGCACACAGCCTCAGAAAATAATGGAACGGTAGGGGTATAATCATTAGAGATCATTTGGCAGAATCTTTTCATCACAGGAAGTGTTTCATTAACGCCACACACTCTTTATGAGACCCACCTTCATGTCCTCAAGTGTCCCATGTTCAGTCTGACAGGTGAGGCTCTTTCCTGGAGGAGACAGACATCAAATCATATTAAGAGTCAGCAACAGGTTGATTGTGAAAATTCAATAAATATATTAATTCAAATTGATTGTGGTTCTCTCCTCTGGGTTCTCAGTAACAGATTGTTCCACATTGTAGTTCAGGTCAGACATTTGTAAACATCACTGAACCCTCAGTCTTTCTAAAGTCTCAGGAGAGGATCAGATTCTCACCTGAAGTCTGTCTGAACAGCTGATCAATCCTCACAGCTGATCAATCCTCACAGCTGATCGATCTGAAAACACAGAAAAGTTGTGTAAATTAACCCAGAATAAAAAGCCCTGTTTGTTTCCCTGAAGCAAACTCAGATCAGATTAAATGTTAATTTTCCTCAACGGGATCAGAGACCTGATTCATATTCATCACATCTGAGTTATGTTAGCGGTAGGGGTGTAACGGTGTAAATATTCGGTAAGGGCCCTTCGGTTCGGTTCACCTGTGTACCGAACTAATATAACATTAAAAACTTTTTGTAAGTAATCTCATTGTATATAGATAGATCTGGCCTTTCAGCAAGCAATGTGGACAAGTTCATATTTAAAAAAAAACATGAATACAATGATAAGCAAGTCCTAATGTCAAACTAGCACAGTTCAAGTAGATTATTTCAGTTCATCGAAATGCTGCACCTTAATGTTTATTTTGTATTTATTTGAGTGAATACATTCAGTTTTATAATTAATAATATATATATATATATATATATCTCATGTTTTGTGACCATTTTTTCTGCTGTACCGAACCGTGACCTAAAAACCGAGGTACGTACCGAACCGAAATGTTTGTGAACCGTTACGCCCCTACCCTAGTTAGCGGCTAAATGTTAATCTGTGATGCTCACCAGGAACACAGGAGGACTGCAGGTGGAGATTCCTGGACAGCAGGGGGTCTTCATGTCTGAATTAAACAGAGAGGGGTCTCATTATCACAGAGAGAGAAACACCTGAGGCTCAGCAGAACTACAGGTGATACATCAGCTAGGAGCGAAAGACAAATGCTCTTGTTCTTCATGGTTTCATCTGCTGAACTATGCTCTCATCACTGTATCAGACATCTTTCAACTCTGCTGTTCCTCCATTTAACTCACCTTCACATGGTGTGCTGCCTCAGTCTGCTGTCTGTCAATCAAGAGAGAGGAAGTGTTAGCAAGTGCTTCAGAGTCGAGTGTCCTCCATGTCTTTAAGGCTGAAACATCAGCTAGGAGCGAAAGACAAATGCTCTTGTTCTTCATGGTTTCATCTGCTGAACTATGCTCTCATCACTGTATCAGACGTTTGAAATAAAGCTGTAATGTCTGTCTTCAACTCACCTTAGTTTGACATTTGGTCCTCCCAGTACTTCATGCATCATCACGACTTCCTGCTCCTGAGAAATGAGACTTTCATTAGAAGAAGATCTAGGAATGAAGAGTCCTTGATGAGCAGAGAGGCCGACACTCAGCTAGGAGCGAAAGACAAATGCTCTTGTTCTTCATGGTTTCATCTGCTGAACTATGCTCTCATCACGGTGTCGGAGCGCTTTCATTCATGCTACTTCAAGCAGAATATTTAACTCACCTGTCACTGAGTCCAGGGTCATGAGGAGAGGAGGATCAGAGGAGCAGCTGCAAGAGAGAGGACGCACTTTAGAAAAGGCATGTTTTAATAAAGAGGCGTCTGTTCGTCTGCACGCATCAGATACAAGTTCTCTTTCACTCTGATTCAGAGAGATTCCCAATGTTTTGTTACAAGATCATCATTTACACATTCATTTAAAGGATGCTCGAGACATGATCGATGCATTACCTGATCTGGAGGTCATCTGGAGGTCGTCTCCTGCAGGAACAGAGTAAAATGAGCTCCATCTCTAATATTCAGAGTGTTTTATTCAGGCTGTGTGAGCCTCAGATAAATCAACTGGTGGGTTGGGGGTATCGTCATCCAGGTAGTCGAGAGTAGCAAATGCTGTCATCACAGACGAGAGAGAAAGACTTTAAGAAACTCTGAGGCTCACCTCGTTTCAGCTTCACATCTTTCGTCAGGTGGCGATTGTGTTCGGCAGTCTGTTCAGCTTCACATGTGGCTTCATGTCTCTGAGACCTGTGGACACAAACCCTCGTTAGCTCCACAATATGGAGACATAGACAATATATAGCTTTAAATGGAAGTGTCAGCGTATGGTTTCTCAGATATCACATCTGTCCACTACTCTTATACTAAATCATCACAAACTTCCAGTTAAAATCTGTAGTTTCTTCATTGAGCAGATAAGAGTAACTCACAGCAGAGGATCTGAGGAGGTTCCCAGCTCAGACTTCTTCTTCCACCTGAACAACATCAAGAACTCTGATTAAAAACACATCGGGAAAAACTGCTTCACTTTTGTAATCGGTGAAATAGCACAATGCTAACATTAGCATGCTATCAGTTAACCTTCAGCCATTAAGTTTCAGAAATCACTTCTGTCCACTACTCTTATATAATGAAACATCACCAGTTTAACAATCAGAGCAGAGGTGGAAGAACTCAGATCTAGTACTCGAGTAAAAGTACTCAGATCTTGAATAAAAGTAGAAGTACTCAGATATTGGTAACTTTCCACCTCAGATCAAAATGAAGTCATTTGTTTCCTCACCATTTAATGTCCAGATCCATTCTGCAGAGATCCTGTCCTGAGGCCTGCAACCAGAAGAGGGAGATACACATTTTAATATACATCTTAAAAATCATGCATTTAGTTACAAACTTCAACACCTATCTAAATAGGCTAACTCCTACACATGCAGCAGCTAGCTCTAAAACAGAATAGTTTAACTTGTTCCCGTGCAGTCAGAGCGGTTGGCATTCTACACAAATATTCAGTTGTCCCTACCAACATTTTTAATCATCATATATACACGGGAAAGCTGCAGTGAGGTGACTTGAAGTGGATGATAGAAATACATTTCACACCCACTGACATGAAGGTCTACAAAACATTACATTCTGAGTGACCAGTTCAGTTCATGATGCCCTCAGTTTGGGGTTTTTAATGATTTATTGGGAATAATTGTCCATGAAAGTTGAAACAAAAAGTAGTGTTTTGTTTATTTCTAATTATTTATCCAGAAGCTGCAGATTAAATAAACGATTGGAGTTAAAGTACAATATTTACCTCTGAACTAGTGGGGTGTAAGTATGAAGTAGCAAAAATGTGAATACTGAAAGTGTACTTCAGTACATCTGGTTATAATTAAGTCATTTCTGTTTCCTCACCATTTAATGTTCAGCTCCATTTTGTAGAGGTCCTGTCGCAAGGCCTGCAACCAGAGAAGGGGATAAACTTTTTAATATACATCTTAAAAATCATGCATTTAGTTACAAACTTCAACACCGCCAAGCATGTTAACTCCTGCACATGCAGCAGCTAGTTAGCACATGTAGCAGCTAGCACTAAAACAGAATAGTTTAACTTGTTCCCGTGCAGTCAGAGCGGTTGGCATTCTACACAAATATTCAGTTGTCCCTACCAACATTTTTAATCATCATATATACACGGGAAAGCTGCAGTGAGGTGACTTTAAGTCGATAAAAAGTCAAGATTAGCTCATATGCTAATTAGCTGCTTACACGTGGGAGAGGCCAAGCTGCTTGTAAAAGGCAAATTGTTTCCATATAGGAGACATTTTACCGACATATAAAACATCAAATCATTAATACATTAAATAGTTTGTCTATATCTGCTCAAGTAGATAAATATTAATACAAAAAGTCAGCTAAAACAACATATAATAAGATATTTCTAGGCTGTAGATGTGGTTACCTTGTGAGCAGCGGAGGAATGAGGACTGACTGAGGGCGCGGACTGCTTTTATAGGGAGATGTCGCAGTGGCTGATGGGAAAAACAGTTCAAACTGCTAGCGCCCCTACTGGCCGTTGGTGTCATTGAGTGTATAACGGCTGAGTGATATGGAAAACATCAAATATATAATATATTGAATTAAATACCTCGATATTAATATTGTATAGTTGACTATAGGTGCTTTTATCAAATATTTACTCACTAAGATTATTGATAAATTATATAACTAGTGTGATATAATAACTTATTGGGTAAAGACCAGAGTTTAAAAACAAATAATACAAATGATAAAATGACATTGCTTACTTGTAAGCTGCCTTAAATCGAGTAAAAGACAATTATGCAATACAATGATATTCTAAGACGATATCTAATCTTATTTCCCATCATAGATAATGTCGCCCAGCTCTTTAAAAATAAATAAAACTAAGGCGAGAAACTAAAGGTGAAAGATTGTGTGATAAGTGTAAATAATACATATATTTAGAGGCTCTTTTCCCCTAAAAGCATGATTTTTATTTTAACACGTTATAAATTAATTAACATGGCTGTTAATCGTTTTCTGTTGAGGATGCACGATTTGGACAAAATGCATTTATGTTGCCTGATAAAATATAAAGGGGCAAAAATGATGAGTTTATTATTTAATTACTTAATTGTTAAGTGTAAAAACGATAGCACATTCTTCTTTTGGTTTAATGGCGGTTGGCAAACAGCTATAAGGTGCATTTACCGCCACAGACGATAGAACATTGGTGAAGGAAACTGAATCTAACAGGTGGTTAATTGGTGTTAATTGATTGCTCTCTCCAGGTGAGGGTTAGAGACCCCGCCCTCCTGACCATCAGCTGATCGAGGCTGTGATTGATCAGCTGGTCTGAAGGAGTCCTTTAAAGTTTAGTCCACCTCCCTTTACCTGGTCCACATCCTCAGGTGAGACCACTTCACCTGGAGAACAAGAATCCTGAAGAAAGGAGTCTGAAGGAAATGAACTAGCAGTCAAATATGCAAAGTGTTGGGTAAACTCCCATCGTGCATCTGCTCTCTGATCACACAGAGAGTTGCAGGTAGCTATTGCCTGAGATCACATGATGTGGTTTTGTTAAATGTGCCAAGTGCAAGGACTGACTTAGGTACGAAAGCTTTTATGTGTGCAGCTCCTCTAACTTGGAACAGTCTGCAAAACGATTTGAAACTGAGCAAATTGGATCCACTGCATGTTTTTAAAGCTCGGATTGGTGCGATGATACTTGATACTGTTGGTACTCGTCAATGTCGCTAGGTATGTACATGTAGCCCTGTAAATACGATGTCCTTTTGTGTTATCTGTTGTTTCATGTTGTAACCTACTTGCTGCAGGTCTCCCTTGAAAAAGAGATTGATGATCTCAATGGGACCACCTGCTTAATGAGTCCTCAGGTGAGACCACTTCACCTGGAGAACAAGAACCCTGAAGGAGAGGAGGAAATCAAAGAACCATCAAATCCCAGCTTAAACAGAAATGGCAGGACGAATGGGACGGAGGAGTTCAGGGCAGACATCTTTATAATGTTCAGAAGAAAGTTGGAGAAACGAGAGAAGTCAACAGAAGTAAAGAAAAGAGGACGACATTTCAAGAAGGAGATTTGGTCACACAGGGCTAAATATTAAATAACACACTATTCATTATGAAAAAACATGCAACAGGTAAATGTGAGTATTGTGGTCATTTTGAAACAGTGGAGCACATTTATTTGCAATGTCTCAAATACCATGACGAAGGTTTGTTACTAAAGGAAGCACTGCACAGAAATCGAACATAATTAAATATAGTAGAGATGTTGAGAAGGAGTTCAGGGGATGTAGCATACAGGGCAGTGTTTAGGCTATATTAAGAATTTAGATTAACACCGGGCTGATCCACTCCATTTCAGAAGGTGGCGGTAAATGCTCCTGAAAGCTGTTTCCCAACCGCTATAAAACTATAGAAGGAGAAGCAGCAGCAGCAAACACAATAATATCTGTGAGCTGAGAGAGAACCAGAGAGGAGCCAACAGGAGGTGAGAAACACTGTTCTTTTCTTAATACTCGTTATAATTAAGAAATATATTGATTTGTTTTTTAGGCAGGCCTCTGTCTCCCACGTGTTCGATGATAATTAGCATATGAGCTAATGTTGTTGATTAGCTCTCATATGCTAATGTCTTTATCCTCTTAAAGTCTCCTCACTGCAGCTTTCCCGTGTATATATGATGATTAAAATGTTGGTAGGGACAACTGAATATTTGTGTAGAATGCCAACCGCTCTGACTGCACGGGAACAAGTTAAACTCTTCTGTTCTAGAGCTAGCTGCAACATGTGCTAACTAGCTGCTGCATGTGCTAACTAGCTGCTACATATGCTAACTAGCTGCTAAGTGCAGGATTTAACAGACTTACATGTGTTGCAGAGTATAACTAAATGCATGATTTTGAATATCTCCCTCTTCTGGTTGCAGGCCTCAGGACAGGATCTCTGCTAAATGGATCTGGACATTAAATGGTGAGGAAACAGAAATGGCTTCATTTTGATCTGAGGTGGAAAGTTACCAAGATCTGAGTACTTCTACTTTTACTCAAGATCGAGTTCTTCCACCTCTGCTCTGATTGTTAAACTGGTGATGTTTCATTATATAAGAGTAGTGGACAGAAGTGATTTCTGAAACTTAATGGCTGAAGGTTAACTGATGGCATGCTAATGTTAGCATTGTGCTATTTCACTGATTACAAAAGTGAAGCAGTTTTTCCCGATGTGTTTTTAATCAGAGTTCTTGATGTTGTTCAGGTGGAAGAAGAAGTCTCTGAGCTGGGAACCTCCTCAGATCCTCTGCTGTGAGTTACTCTTATCTGCTCAATGAAGAAACTACAGATTTTAACTGGAAGTTTGTGATGATTTAGTATAAGAGTAGTGGACAGATGTGATATCTGAGAAACCATACGCTGACACTTCCATTTAAAGCTATATATTGTCTTATGTCTCCATATTGTGGAGCTAACGAGGGTTTGTGTCCACAGGTCTCAGAGACATGAAGCCACATGTGAAGCTGAACAGACTGCCGAACACATAATCGCCACCTGACGAAAGATGTGAAGCTGAAACGAGGTGAGCCTCAGAGTTTCTTAAAGTCTTTCTCTCTCGTCTGTGATGACAGCATTTGCTACTCTCGACTACCTGGATGACGATACCCCCAACCCACCAGTTGATTTATCTGAGGCTCACACAGCCTGAATAAAACACTCTGAATATTAGAGATGGAGCTCATTTTACTCTGTGTTCCTGCAGGAGACGACCTCCAGATGACCTCCAGATGACCTCCAGATCAGGTAATGCATCGATCATGTCTCTAGCATCCTTTAAATGAATGTGTAAATGATGATCTTGTAACAAAACATTGGGAATCTCTCTGAATCAGAGTGAAAGAGAACTTGTATCTGATGCGTGCAGACGAACAGACGCCTCTTTATTAAAACATGCCTTTTCTAAAGTGCGTCCTCTCTCTTGCAGCTGCTCCTCTGATCCTCCTCTCCTCATGACCCTGGACTCAGTGACAGGTGAGTTCAATATTCTGCTTGAAGTAGCATGAATGAAAGCGCTCCGACACCGTGATGAGAGCATAGTTCAGCAGATGAAACCATGAAGAACAAGAGCATTTGTCTTTCGCTCCTAGCTGAGTGTCGGCCTCTCTGCTCATCAAGGACTCTTCATTTCTAGATCTTCTTCTAATAAAAGTCTCATTTCTCAGGAGCAGGAAGTCGTGATGATGCATGAAGTACTGGGAGGACCAAAGGTCAAACTAAGGTGAGTTGAAGACAGACATTACAGCTTTATTTCAAACGTCTGATACAGTGATGAGAGCATAGTTCAGCAGATTAAACCATGAAGAACAAGAGCATTTGTCTTTCGCTCCTAGCTGATGTTTCAGCCGTAAAGACATGGAGGACACTCGACTCCTGAAGCACTTGCTAACACTTCCTCTCTCTTGATTGACAGACAGCAGACTGAGGCAGCACACCATGTGAAGGTGAGTTAAATGGAGGAACAGCAGAGTTGAGAGATGTCTGATACAGTGATGAGAGCATAGTTCAGCAGATGAAACCATGAAGAACAAGAGCATTTGTCTTTCGCTCCTAGCTGATGTATCACCTGTAGTTCTGCTGAGCCTCAGGTGTTTCTCTCTCTGTGATAATGAGACCCCTCTCTGTTTAATTCAGACATGAAGACCCCCTGCTGTCCAGGAAGCTCCACCTTCAGTCCTCCTGTGTTCCTGGTGAGCATCACAGATTAGCATTTAGCCGCTAACTAGGGGTGTAACCATGGGCGTCGCAGCCATTATATGAGGGTGGGACAAGTCCCCCCACTTTTTCAAATGATTAGTTTAGACCCCCCCCCCCCCACTTTTACTATGCGGAAAGTCCGTGAATCGGTCTATCCACTCGCCGCTCTTTGTAGAGCGCTGTGTCAGTGCTTCACTATCAAATGAAATCCATTCCACTTGCTTATTGAGAGAATGCCCAAATCAATGAAACTCCGTACCATGTTTTCACTGCTACTTTGTACCAAGGCAGATTCTCACATAGCGCGCGCATGTTCAAGGAGTGTTGTCATAGTTGGACAGCTCAGATCTGTTGTATGAAGCGATGCCGGTAGCGGAGGTAAGGCACACACACCAAATGTTCAGGAAATGGTTAATACAGCGAAAATCAAAGCTGACGATCTCTTGGTTTGATATGTTTTCTCCCCCAGACAACATGGACAGAAGAACATTTTTTTCAAAGAAGAGGAAAGTAAGTCATCAGCTGGTAGCAGTTAATCAGTTAACAGTGATGGCGGCGTCTCACTTCTGGAGAGGAGTTTCGTCTTTATGTCATGATAGAGAGATACAAATACTGAATAGTTTAGAAAAGGCATCGAAATGCCAGGTTACTAGTATTTATCATGTAAACAGGGAACATGAATAACCCGATCTCTCTGTGCTCATGTAAACACCATATCCCCAATATGATCATAACCTGGATAATACTCATAAACGGCTTACTGATGTCCATGTAGAGACGCAGTCAGTGTGTTTTACTGGAGCCTCAGTTCGATAAGAGATTCTTTTCTGAGTTCTTTAACTTAGGTACTCTCTCTCAAAATGGTAATGTGCATTATGTTTGAATTATACTTCTTATCATTCAGAAGCTTTTTGTGTGTGTTTATGTTTTACTGAGTGCTTATAGGCTATTTCCATCCCAGTATTCAGTTAACTATTTATTTTCTGTGCACATTACATAGACTAGCTAATATTCTACCTACTGCTTGGGACTTTGAGTCTTCAAAATGTCCAATGTCACAGACTGGGACTTACTTTAGAGTCAGTTGTATTTACATTCAGTATGACTTGTTATGATTCAATGTGAAAGAGTATACTGCTCAATAAATAATTATCACTTCACCACCTCTCTTGACATCTAGGCACTTGAGAGTGAGTCAGAGGCAGAATACAGGGACAGAGAGAGAGGTCCATTGCTGAGGTGAGTGATGAAAGGGAAATGACAGTTGAGAGTAAATTGTGATGTGGACTCTCATCCCAGGATTTTAAGGAAATCAGTGGGGATATTGAACAGGAAACATTTCAGTCAAGGGGCATCATATGACCAATATAGACGGAAGAGCAACATTTATTTGAACATTTAAGTCAATGATACCATTCCTAGGTGAACTTAACATCTGTATGGAGTCAGATCAGTCTCAATATTAATAAATGCTCACAGAAGGATTCACAAATGTATTTTGAGATTTATATATAAATGACTCTCCACAACAATATCTCTCAATGCACTCACAAATATTTATTGTTGTATATAAATGGGCATTTAAACTGCTTTTTATTAATTCAAAGACAGCTCTGAATTAATAATCCAATATGTTTCCTTTCTTTACTACTGGATGAAATTACAAAATGTACCCATCATTTTCCTCATGCTAGTATAGCCACAGAAGTATCAAACCACCTGTTAAAATGCACCAGAATACAGGAAATCTATATTTTTTTTCGCCCCCACACCCCCCGTTAAAAATGTCCCCCCCACTTTCAGGATGCTTCCTACGCCCATGGGCGTAACGGTTCACAAACATTTCGGTCCGGTACGTACCTCGGTTTTTAGGTCACGGTTCGGTACAGCAGAAAAAATGGTCACAAAACATGAGATATATATATATATATATATATATATATGTTTTTTTTATTATAAAACTGAATACTGTATTCACTCAAATAAATACAAAACAAAATAAACATTAATGTGCAGCATTTCGATGAACTGAAATAATCTGTACTTGAACTGTACTAGTTTGACATTAGGACTTGCTTGTCATTGTATTCATGTTTTTTAAAGAAACATTAACTTGTCCACATTGCTTGCTGAAAGGGCAGATCTATCTATATACAATGAGATTACTTCCCAAAAGTTTTTCACGTTCTCAATTTTTTTTTACGTTTAACGTTATATTTGTTCGGTACACAGGTACACCGAAGGGCCCTTACCGAATATTTACACCGTTACACCCCTACCGCTAACATAACTCAGATGTGATGAATATGAATCAGGTCTCTGATCCCGTTGAGGAAAATTAACATTTAATCTGATCTGAGTTAGCTTCAGGGAAACAAACCGGTCTTTTTATTCTGGGTTAATTTACACAACTTTTCTGTGTTTTCAGATCTGATCAGCTTTGAGGATTGATCAGCTTTGAGGATTGATCAGCTGTGAGGATTGATCAGCTGTTCAGACGGACTTCAGGTGAGAATCTGATCCTCTCCTGAGACTTTAGAAAGACTGAGGGTTCAGTGATGTTTACAAATGTCTGACCTGAACTACAATGTGGAACAATCTGTTACTGAGAACCCAGAGGAGAGAACCACAATCAATTTGAATTAATATATTTATTGAATTTTCATAGGGCAACACAATTAACCTGTCGCTGACTCTTAATAAGATGTGATGTCTTTGTCCTCCAGGAAAGAGCCTGTCAGACTGAACATGGGACACTTGAGGACATGAAGGTGGGTCTCATCAAGAGTGTGTGGCGTTAATGAAACACTTCCTGTGATGAAAAGATTCTGCCAAATGATCTCTAATGATTATACCCCTACCGTTCCATTATTTTCTGAGGCTGTGTGCTCACTGAACATTTAGTTGTTGCTACTTTTCTGTCACTGTGCTCTCATATAAATGTAGTTTTTAAATAAGACTTTGTGTCCCTTCTCCTCCAGGAAAGACCCTCCTCTGTCAGACTGAACATGGGACGTTTGAGGACTTGAAGCTAAGGTGCGTCTCATCAGGAGTGATCAGAGTTTCTATGAACACTACCTGTGATGAAAAGATTCTGCCAAATGATCTCTCATGATTATACCCCTACCGTTCCATTATGTTCTGAGGCTGTGTGCGCTCCCTACGTCTCTGCTGAGTTTCTACCTTTGGTTCTAATGAGAGTTTGTGTTTCTATCCAAAGAAGCCCCTTCAGGATCTGCCTCTGGGATCAGCCTCTCATCAGGTGAAGCCCCGCCCCTTCAGGACCAGGATCTGCTCTGGGATCTGCCTCATCAGGTGAAGCCCCTCCCCTTCAGGACCAGGATCTGCTCTGGGATCAGCCTCATCAGGTGAAGCTCCTCCCCTTCAGGACCAGGATCTGCTCTGGGGTCAACCTTTCATCAGGTGAAGCCCCTCCCCTTCAGGACCAGGATCTGCTCTGGGATCAGCCTTTCATCAGGTGAAGCCCCTCCCCTTCAGGACCAGGATCTGCTCTGGGATCAGCCTTTCATCAGGTGAAGCCCCTCCCCTTCAGGACCAGGATCTGCTCTGGGATCAGCCTCACATCAGGTGAAGCCCCTCCCCTTCAGGACCAGGATCTGCTCTGGGATCAGCCTCTCATCAGGTGAAGCCCCTCCCCTTCAGGACCAGGATCTGCTCTGGGATCAGCCTTTCATCAGGTGAAGCCCCTCCCCTTCAGGACCAGGATCTGCTCTGGGATCAGCCTCACATCAGGTGAAGCCCCTCCCCTTCAGGACCAGGATCTGCTCTGGGATCAGCCTCATCAGGTGAAGCTCTCTCTGATACCTGCACGTCTCTGAAAGCTGTAGCTGATGATCTGTTGAAACATTGGGAATCTCTCTGAGTCAGAGTGAAAGAGAACTGTTTTCTGATGCAGAGCAGACTCTCTGATCTGTGCTCTGGAGGAAGGCTGCTGCTAACTCCTCTCTTCTCTTCTCAGGTGCTGAGCTTCAGAGACATCAAGGCTGTGTTTGTGGAAATAAAGAGTGAACTGAATCCTGTGCCTGGTGTCTTTTATTAACCTGTGTAGAGACTCTGTGCCAAAACATGCAGTATGTGCTCTGATTGGTTAACGAGGTATACTTCCAATTACATCATCCTGCAGCTACTTTATACTTTCATAATGATGCTACCTTTTTATACCTGGACTGTAATTACTTTTTACCGTGTCCACTTTACGAAGTTTCAGTGTCTCTTAGCTGTCACTATATTTCCCCTCTGGGACTAATGAGGCATTCTGACTCTCTTTAAATAATAAATGGTGCATTGTTTATATCAAATGCATTACAGACAGTCTCCTCTCAGCATTTTGTGAATTTAATAAATGACTTGTTAGGAACGTGTTATTAGCTTACCTGTGTATTCTCAATTCTCTAAAGGGCTTTATATTATTGTGAAAAGTACCCAAAATATTCTGTGCACTTAAAAAAAAATGCAATATTTACCTCAACTAAAATAATTCAAGAACAAACGGCTAGATGATAGTTATAACATAAACCAATATATAGCTCCAACACAGACCTTAGAGGTGTTATATAAACATATTTAATATCTACTCTATCTTGAGATTCCTATATTGCTTCTACTTTTTTTAATTTCCAATGATGTGCACTACTTGTTAACGTGCTGCTGCAACAAACATTTCCCAATTTAGGATCAATAAAGTATATCTTATCCTGGAATAAAAGGCACTAGAGTCTGAATATTGTACTTAAAAAAACGTGACTAGCTTTAAGACATGGTAATTGTTTACTCTGTGTACCTGTCTTCCTAAACCGTTTGTGTTTATATATTTTCATGAATCAAAAAATAAATGCATTCCGTATTTGTTGAGCGAATGTTACCGGAAGTGACGTTCCATCGAGTACCGGAAATGTAATCGCCTCCTTCGCTTATTTTTTTACTCTAATTACTTTATTAAAAAATAAAGGAGGAAGGAGAAACATGTGCCACGACACAGAAGTATGCATTAAATAATAAACTAATTACATTTAAACAAAATCGCATATCTTTACCAACATTGAAAGTAAACAAATCGCAGGAAGTCCTGACAAGCGCATGCGCAGAACACAAAATGAAGCAACCATCCCTCCCTAATGTTAAATAAATGAAAACCAATCGCAGTTAAGAATTAGAAATTAATTATTAATGCCATAAATGATTTAATACATTTACAGTTTCTTATTCCAGTATGATAGCTGTCAATACATTTTTATTCAGTGATATAGGAGTTACAAGACAAGTGCATACAAGTACAGTGTCACAGATACACACAAGACCGTACTGTGAATTTACAAGTAAAGACAAATAAATAACAAATGACAAAATATACATGGAGACAGAAAATAAAAGAGACTGTGTGAGGGATTAGACAAAAGGAGAGTAATGTATGACAAAATTATGATTACAATTATATGAGTAACAATATAATGGTCATGTGTCCTAGGATTGATGTGGTCGGGTTTTTTTTTCTTCAATGCGAAACACGTCAGATGTCCCATTTGGGATGCCGTACGTAGCTGTCAAATATGGCAAACCAACTCGCGCTTGCGCAGTGCAAATCAGGTAGTCAAACCTCCTGCTGTACATTGGGGGAGAAATAAGGGGGGAGGAGGGTTAATGTGCCACACCGTGCACAGCTTTGACCCCCCCGGTGTCTCGGTGCTGTTCCCCCGGAGAAGAGAACCAGACCCCCCGGTGCCTCGGTGCTGTTCCCCCGGAGAGGAGAACCAGACCCCCCCGCCCGGTGTCTCGGTGCTGTTCCCCCGGAGAGGAGAACCAGACCCCCCCGGTGCCTCGGTGCTGTTCCCCCGGAGAAGAGAACCAGACCCCCCCCCCCCCCCCGGTGCCTCGGTGCTGTTCCCCCGGAGAGGAGAACCAGACCCCCCCGGTGTCTCGCGGCTGTTCCTGCCGCCTCGCAGCCTCCTCTTTCCGGATGCTTCTGCTCTGGATCCTCGCCGCGCTCTGCGCTTCCTCCGCAGAGGCCGACTTCTTCCCTCTGGACAGCATCTCCAACGTGTCCAGCTACTATTTCAACTACATCTATTGCAATATCTGGGAGGGGGAGTGCCAGCCCCACCAGGACGATGCTGCACAGCAGGGTGAGCTTCATTTAGATGTATGCTTTATCAGCAGACCATAATAACCCGTGAGGCTGTCCAACAGCTTCACCTGGGACCCAAAGCATGCTCTGAACAGAGAATCTGAACTACTACCATCTAATGGAGATTCAATAAAGTCAGACTGAAGCATCCTTTGTGCTCCAGTCAGTCCTCTCAGTAAACACAGAGCTGAATCCAGATCAAATGCACGCTGAAGGCTCTTTGAGCAGCTCTCACTGATCCTGCTGTTATGTTACATGTTTGTTTGTCATGTATTGTGTCTTGATATTCGTTTATGTTGGACCCCGAACCTGCAGTTCTCTAACAGGGCTGGAATAGAGGGATATGAGGGATCTGTTGAGCAAAACACATCATAGACATGTTTTTTTATATATGTGTATATATATCTGAGACCCGGCAGTGGCTCAGTCAGTAGGGGCTTGGACTGTGAGCCGTAGGGTCGCCGGTTCAAGCCTGAACAGACCTAAGTGTGGACTGCTACTTGGAGAGGTCCCAGTTGCCGTGGTGCCCTTGAGCAAGGCACCGGACAACCCCCTTCCCCCCTCACTCCCATTGCTCCCCGGGCGCTGTACAATAGCTGCCCACTGCTCCTAGTACTAGACTCCTGGTTCTATCAATCAATCAATCAATCAATCAATCAATCAATGTTTATTTATATAGCCCAATATCACAAATGTTACATTTGTCTCAGTGGACTTCACAGTTTGTACAGTTCTAGACTCCTGGTACCTCCTGGTTCTAGACTCCTGGTACCTCCTGGTTCTAGTCTCCTGGTACCTCCTGGTTCTAGACTCCTGGTACCTCCTGGTTCTAGTCTCCTGGTACCTCCTGGTTCTAGACTCCTGGTACTAGGATGGGTTAAAAGCAGAGAACACATGTCACTGTGTGTGCTGTGTGCTCTGCATGTGAGACCATTACAGAGGGGTTCATCCCTCCCATTCTATCTATTCTATATATGCCTAAAAATAACATAATAGGAGCACTATAATATTGTCTGTTGCATTGCTGGAAGAGCACAGGACTTCAGATACTCTCTGCCAAAACTAAGCTGTATTGTGACCATTAAAGCCTCTACATTTGAATGTATTGAATGCATTTGTTATTGATCACAGTTCTAAATCTGAGTATTGTGTTCTCTCTCTCTCTCTCTCTCTCTCTCTCTCTCTCTCTCTCTCTCTCTCTCTCTCTCTCTCTCTCTCTCTCTTCTCTCTTCTCTCTCTCTCTCTCTCTCTCTCCTCTCTCTCTCTCTCTCCTCTCTCTCTCTCTCTCTCTTCTCTCTCTCTCTCTCTCAGTTCCGACCCGCGACCTGTGGGCTGGCTTCCCTCAGGACTACATGAGTCTGGTGCACCAGTGGTACTGCAGCCTGGGCCAGTGCTGCGACTCTGGAGACTGCCGGGTCACCAACAACATCACAGGTACCCCAATTATCTGCTTTTATAATCACACTGAATTGAGGCTGACGCTGAATTGGTTTGTTTCTGTTTGGGAGCATTTTCCATACTGAGAAGGACCAAAACATGGAGGAAGAAGAAGTTATTATTTAGTTTTCAGGGCATTCATTAGATTTAGTAGGAAAGACATGTAAAACAAACCGCTCTAACAACAATATTTCTACACATTCTGTCGCTATTTCTTAAGATTTGATCACTTTTGTCGACCGTTGCTTAAATATAACATCACAGCTGTTTTTTAAGCATCGCTGTAAATATCTAAAACGGTGCTTTTAGTTACTGTACGCTTTTTTGTTGAATAAGGTCTATTATGTTTATCTATTTGTGTAAATATTCCACACTATTTTTTGATTGGTTGGGGGTGTGTACTTCTAATCTGAAATGTCACTTCGCTTCAGACTCAAACACACATTTTAACTTCTTATTCTTCTGTTCATTTCAGTGATTTTTTAAACAGCGTATCGTCTCCTCCTTGGTGTTTCTTTAACCTCTCCCTCTCCTTCTCCCTCTCCCTCTCTCTCCTCCCCCTCAGGTCTGGCGTGGGACCTCCAGACGAGGCTCCACGGGCAGCACCTGGTCCAGTCCGTGGTTCTGAAGGCGGTGCAGGGCTTCCTCAGCAGCCCCGAGTCCAACAAGCCGCTCACGCTCTCCTTCCACGGCTGGTCCGGCACCGGGAAGAACTACGTGGCCCGGATCATCGCCGACAACCTGTACCGAGACGGTGTGAAGAGCGAGTGCGTCCGCCTCTTCATCGCCCCGTTCCACTTCCCCCACGCACGACTGGTGGACACTTACAAGGTGAGACACGAGGCGGTTTAGATTCAAGTTTCAAAGGTCATATGCAAAAATGATAACAATAATGAAATGAAACAAGATAATTATGATACTGTTCAAACTTAAGCAGTGTCAAATTGATAAACACAAATATTATTAACTTAGAAATTATATATAAACAAATGATCTACTTAATTACACATCTGAGAAGGGGTGGGAAGAAGTTTACACTTATTTAATCCCACCCCTTCTCCCAAAAACTACATTATTAAAAAATGTCAGAGCGATTAAATCTACTTTAAAGCAATCTTTTTGAGTAAATATGTTAAATTAGCATTAGCTGCAAAGTGGCAGTGAGAAAGGATGCACGGTTAGACAGGGATACAAATCCAGAGACCGGTACCATCACTGCAGAACTGGGTTAAGGAGAGGAGTGGAAACACACCTTCAGTTCAGTGAGGAATACATGTCTCATCTCTTACGCCGGAAGAGTCCGTAAGAACTTGGGTTTAATACGATTATAAAGGGTTTAACACAATAAATAATGTAGTAGTGATCCTCACAGATGAGTGAGGGGGATCTTATAAAACCAGCTCAAGGAGGACACGAGACGAAACGGGTTGGGAACCAGTGAGACAGAGGACGTGGTAGTGTTGATTAGGAGACAGCGACTGTCTTGAACTGTTCAATAACGATATTCTTGAGACATAACAGCGGAGACTGTACTGGACACGTTCATGTCCAAAGCACACCGAAGCATAAACTAGTTCCGGGCATTACCACAAACAGGACTGACGTCACACACGTATCCCTACGCCCTGTACATTATAAAATAGTACCATTACAACACAGACGTTATTGAGTCTGTTCCAGTCTCATCTGGTTGTTTCCGTTAACAGCTGAGTTGTTCATCACTTCAAATGTTGCAGCTGCAAGGAATTGTGGGACGGCGTCATCTCCTTCCCTTTCATTAAGGATGCTCCGATGTATCCTAAAGGAGATAACAAAGGAAGCCTTAGGGACCTTCATGAGAGGGAAATATAGTATTGGACCTCAGAGTGTGTGTAGGCAGTGTGTGTGTGTGTGTGTGTGTGGGTTGTTTGGCAAGGTGTGTGTGTGTGTGTGTGTGTGTGTGTGTGTGTGTGTGTGTGTGTGTGTGTGTGTGTGTGTGTGTGTGTGTGTGTGTGTGTGTGTGTGTGTGTGTGTGTGTGTGTGTGTGTGTGTGTGTGTGTGTGTGTGTGGTGTGTGTGTGTGTGTGTGTGTGTGTGTGTGTGTGTGTGTGGTGTGTGTGTGTGTGTGTGTGTGTGTGTGTGTGTGTGTGTGTGAGGTTGTACCGTTGCTTCAAATCAAACATCAGGGTTTCGGAGATGCAGAGATGGCAAAAGTACACACATCCTTTACTCAAGTAGAAGTACACACATCCTTTACTCAAGCAGAAGTACACACATCCTTTACTCAAGTAGAAGTACACACATCCTTTACTCAGGCAGAAGTACACACATCCTTTACTCAAGTAGAAGTACAGATACTCGTGTTGAAAAATACTCTGGTGAAAGTAGAAGTACTGACTAAACTTCTTTACTCAAGTCAAAGTAAAGAGGGCTTTGAAATGTACTTCAGTAAAAAGTACCCATAACTAGCAGCTGTTTTAAAGAGTACCTGACCTCCCTTTATATTAATAGAACAATAATGTCATTGTTAGCTAATGAATGTTTCCATGCTGAACAACGGCAACATGACAACGTTTTCATTGGTCCCTCTTCTTTAGAGAAGACCAGGAAATGATGGATACACGGATCGTGTTCAAATCAATAGGCACGCAATGACTCTAAATAATAATGATCACGCCACCAAACACACATTCAAACTAAAGGAACCAGCCTGTTTGGAAAATGTGAGAAGTAGAAAGTACAGGTATTTGGGTTCAACATGTAAGAAGTAGAAAGTACAGGTATTTGTGTTCAACATGTAAGAAGTAGAAAGTACAGGTATTTGAGTTCAACATGTAAGAAGTAGAAAGTACAGGTATTTGGGTTCAACATGTAAGAAGTAGAAAGTACAGGTATTTGTGTTCAACATGTAAGAAGTAGAAAGTACAGGTAATTGGGTTCAACATGTAAGAAGTCAAAGTAAAAAGTGGTCAGAAAAATAAGTAGTGGAGTAAAGTACTGATACCAGAAACATGTACTTAAGTACAGTAACAAAGTATTTGTACTCCACTTCTTCCCACCTCTGCTCAGAACACACTACAGGAGAGGGAAGAGCCCTAAAAGCAGAATAGGGCCTCTTTAAAACAAACACATACTGAGTAATATCTGGTCCAACTTCTGTTTTAATGTGATTTCTCTGTGTTTGCAGTGTGTCAGAACACACAGATGCCAGCGTGGAGCCTCCTCACACATATTTACACACATATGTACACAACCACTGCTTCACATTTCATCATGATGTTGACTCTGTTACACAATGAATCCAGATGTTACAGAGGGTCGTACGCGGGGTGACCCTTAAACTCTCATGCTGCCAAATCTGCAGGATCTGAAGGTCTTTATAAATGAGACGTAGACGATGAAACATACAAATAAATTACCAATTTGTCCCAAAGGATTTAATGTGGTTTTGTTATTTAAAAAGATTACACAATACATTTATTTATAATATACACTTTTACATAATGGTAAGGTTTTCATTTTAATTAGTAGATGGTTAAATAGAATAGTATATTTAAAGTCTGAACCGGATTGATTATTTACTTCTGCTTGAACTTAATATCAGAGCAGTACATCTAATACATATGTTCAAAAACAGCACTTTTCATTATTTAACCCTCAACATTTTTGTCAAATAACATGCAGTGTTTATTATTCGACATTTTATTCAACATATTGTTTCTTGTTGGGAGTTGTTTTATTTGTTAAACACCAATAAAGAAATAGATAACATTAATATCAGAGCATAAAACGACTGTCTGCACTTCTGTTGAATAAGCTGTGGTGGATAATGTGGATCAGTTTGTTTAAATATTCCACATTTCATTTTACCATTTATATATCTTTTCTCTTGTTATCAGTTTAAATGTTTATTATTGTTTGTGGGAAACGGTATTTCGATGTCTCTGTCTGTACACACAAACTGGAAGACTAAACACCGTGATGTGTCCTCTTGATTTCCTCTGAGACCTTGAGGTGTTAGAGATCCTGACCCTGTGTTTTACTTTCTAAAGGGCCAGCTTCGAGAGTCCATCAGAGACCTGGTCCTCCGCTGCCCTCAGACTCTGTTCATCTTCGACGAGGCGGAGAAGCTTCACCCCGGCCTCATCGACGCCATCAAGCCGTTCATGGATCATTACGACAACGTGGACGGGGTCAACTACCGCAGAGCGCTCTTCCTCTTCCTCAGGTCTCTAATTGTTTATCACACACTTCAAATTACATTTCCTTTACCAATTAAGTGTCTGACAGTCAGTGTCACATCTCCACACACACCACTATTACAGTCACTATGATCAATCTAACCTTTTTTATTTACAAAGTGCAAGTGCATTTCTCACGTGTCCGTTGTCTCCACAGTAACATCGGGGGGGCGACCATCAACGACGTGGCGCTGGACTTCTGGCACTCGGGTCAGAACCGAGAGGACATCGGGATGGAAGATCTGGAGCATCGACTGAGAGCAGAAACCATGGAGTCTCACGGTACGTTGAAGAGGTTCATGTTCTTTAAAGTAGAGACACTACATACTGATATACACCTGAACATCAGCAGGAGAGGACTCTTTAAAGTAGAGACACTACATACTGATATACACCTGAACATCAGCAGGAGAGGGACTCTTTAAAGTAGAGACACTACATACTGATATACACCTGGACATCAGCTGGAGAGGACTCTTTAAAAGTAGAGACACTACATACTGATATACACCTGAACATCAGCAGGAGAGGACTCTTTAAAGTAGAGACACTACATACTGATATACACCTGAGCATCAGCAGGAGAGGACTCTTTAAAGTAGAGACACTACATACTGATATACACCTGAACATCAGCAGGAGAGGACTCTTAAAGTAGAGACACTACATACTGATATACTGACATCAGCTGGAGAGGACTCTTAAAGTAGAGACACTACATACTGATATACACCTGAGCATCAGCAGGAGAGGACTCTTTAAAGTAGAGACACTACATACTGATATACACCTGAGCATCAGCAGGAGAGGACTCTTTAAAGTAGAGACACTACATACTGATATACACCTGGAGCATCAGCAGGAGAGGACTCTTTAAAGTAGAGACCTACATACTGATATACACCTGGGGACATCAGCTGTGAGAGGACTCTTAAAAGTAGAGACACTACATACTGATATACACCTGAGCATCAGCAGGAGAGGACTCTTTAAAGTAGAGACACTACATACTGATATACACCTGAACATCAGCAGGAGAGGACCTCTTTAAAGTAAGAGACACTACATACTGATATACACCTGGACATCAGCAGGAGAGGACTCTTTAAAGTAGAGACACTACATACTGATATACACCTGAGCATCAGCAGGAGAGGACTCTTTAAAGTAGAGACACTACATACTGATATACACCTGAACATCAGCAGGAGAGGACTCTTTAAAGTAGAGACACTACATACTGATATACACCTGAACATCAGCAGGAGAGGACTCTTTAAAGTAGAGACACTACATACTGATATACACCTGAACATCAGCAGGAGAGGACTCTTTAAAGTAGAGACACTACATACTGAGATACACCTGAACATCAGCAGGAGAGGACTCTTTAAAGTAGAGACACTACATACTGATATACACCTGAACATCAGCAGGAGAGGACTCTTTAAAGTAGAGACACTACATACTGATATACACCTGAACATCAGCAGGAGAGGACTCTTTAAAGTAGACACTACATACTGACATACACCTGGACATCAGCAGGAGAGGACTCTTTAAAGTAGAGACACTACACACTGATATACACCTGAACATCAGCAGGAGAGACTCTTTAAAGTAGAGACACTACACACTGATATACACCTGAACATCAGCAGGAGAGGACTCTTTAAAGTAGAGACACTACATACTGATATACACCTGAACATCAGCAGGAGAGGACTCTTTAAAGTAGAGACACTACACTGAGATACACCTGAACATCAGCAGGAGAGGACTCTTTAAAGTAGACACACTACCTACTGATATACACCTGAACATGAGCAGGAGAGGACTCTTTAAAGTAGAGACACTACACACTGATATACACCTGAACATCAGCAGGAGAGGACTCTTTAAAGTAGAGACACTACACACTGATATACACCTGAACATCAGCAGGAGAGGACTCTTTAAAGTAGAGACACTACACACTGATATACACCTGAACATCAGCAGGAGAGGACTCTTTAAAAGTAGAGACACTACATACTGATATACACCTGAACATCAGCAGGAGAGGACTCTTTAAAGTAGACACACTACCTACTGATATACACCTGAACATCAGCAGGAGAGGACTCTTTAAAATAGAGACACTACATACTGATATACACCTGAATATCAGCAGGAGAGGACTCTTTAAAGTAGAGACACTACATACTGATATACACCTGAACATCAGCAGGAGAGGACTCTTTAAAGTAGACACACTACCTACTGATATACACCTGAACATCAGCAGGAGAGGACTCTTTAAAATAGAGACACTACATACTGATATACAACCTGAACATCAGCAGGAGAGGACTCTTTAAAGTAGAGACACTACACACTGATATACACCTGAACATCAGCAGGAGAGGACTCTTTAAAGTAGAGACACTACACACTGATATACACCTGAACATCAGCAGGAGAGGACTCTTTAAAGTAGAGACACTACACACTGATATACACCTGACATCAGCAGGAGAGGACTCTTTAAAGTAGAGACACTACATACTGATATACACCTGAACATCAGCAGGAGAGGACTCTTTAAAGTAGACACACTACCTACTGATATACACCTGAACATCAGCAGGAGAGGACTCTTTAAAATAGAGACACTACATACTGATATACACCTGAATATCAGCAGGAGAGGACTCTTTAAAGTAGAGACACTACATACTGATATACACCTGAACATCAGCAGGAGAGGACTCTTTAAAGTAGACACACTACCTACTGATATACACCTGAACATCAGCAGGAGAGGACTCTTTAAAATAGAGACACTACATACTGATATACACCTGAACATCAGCAGGAGAGGACTCTTTAAAGTAGAGACACTACATACTGATATACACCTGAATATCAGCAGGAGAGGACTCTTTAAAGTAGAGACACTACATACTGATATACACCTGAACATCAGCAGGAGAGGACTCTTTAAAGTAGAGAGACTACATACTGATATACACCTGAACATCAGCAGGAGAGGACTCTTTAAAGTAGAGCGTTCTTTCTCCATGGTTCTGTTTCCCAGGTGGCTTTGCTCAGAGCGAGCTGATGTCCGGTCACCTGATCGACTTCTTCGTGCCCTTCCTGCCTCTGGAGTACCGGCACGTGAAGCTGTGTGCGAGGGACGCGTTCACGGCTCGAGGCCTGCAGACGGACGAGGCCACGCTGGACGAGGTGGCCAAGGCCATGCTGTACGTGCCCAAAGAGGAGAGGCTGTTCTCCGCTCAGGGCTGCAAGTCCATCCCCCAGAGGATCAACTTCTTCCTGCCCTAGGAGGTGAGACGCACAGACCTGGAAGTGGAGCCCAGAGTACTATCCCCTTCACAGGTACAACAGGTGTCCTTCAGAGAGGGACGGATCCACAGGGGAAACACAGGATCCTGCAGACGTGAGGAGATCCAGCTCTTCTTCAGCATCAGGACCATGGGTGTCACTTTGTGTGATGAGGACACAGATTTAAAAACAAAATTCTGCAATAAGCGCCCCCCAAAAACAATACATACATATTATACAGACATGCTTACAATACTTTTGACAACTAGCGCAGTAACTACGCTGCTGCAAAGGTGTTCTCTATTCAGTCATTACTAATATTAAACGTTTCTCTTGGGTTACCAGCAGGGTTAGGGTTTTAATCTGAGCGGGGGTCTTTAATTAAGAGAGAGAGAGAGAGAGAGAGAGAGAGAGAGAGAGAGAGAGAGAGAGAGAGAGAGAGAGAGAGAGAGAGAGAGAGCGAGAGAGAGCCGAGAGACGAGAGTCGGATACAGCTCGAGAGAGAGAGAGCGAGAGCTCTAGCGAGACGCTAGAGGCGGCGCAGGCTATCGAGACTCAACTCTCTCTCTCTCCTACATCTATGCTCTACTCTCTCTCTTCATCTCTCTCTCACTTCTCTCTCTTCTTTTGTCCCCACCCCCTCTTACCATTACGCAGATGAAAGGGCCCAAAGTGGTGTGTTCTCAGCAGGCTGTGGTCGCGGTCCTTGAACCCACGATGTGGAAGTCCGATGTCCTTTATTTATCCTCGATTGGATCGTCTGCTCGACTACTTTCTTGTCAATATATTTGAATATCAGTTGATAACGGTTTCTTCAAAGTGTACACTTCTTTGTGCACGCTATTTCCAGAACACTTTTAACAGATTATCCAAATGCAAAAGGTCGGGTACAAAATTGGCCATTTCCAAAAGTGTTGGAGACATGTTCCCAAAGTGTCCCCAGTATGAATATCACCAAGAACTAGACAGAATTCAGTGTTTGTCAAACTTTCATTATGTCTGTTCGTCTCGTCCAACGGCTTAGTTGCTCTGTTTTTAAAAGTTAAGATCATGTGTTGCATGTAGGACATTGCACTTGTAAAGAGTGGTGCTCAGCGGAGAAATCCCATTGGACCAGGGAGATGATGCCTTCAGGGACCAACACCGAAAATACGACATCCCTGCACCACTCGAGTATCACTGATTATTTATTGACGTATGATATTTTATGATATGAGACTAGATGTAAAATGTAATGATTAATTAATTAAAAAGACGTGTCTAGCTATTCTATTATTTTTCTTTACCCTTTAATTCCATTAATCCACTAGCTATTCCAAATTCTCATTGTGTTAATGGACCCTGAAAGCCTCCTCCTTACAAAACCGTCTCAATATGAATATTAGGTCCAATCTTTATATGTGAATGTCCTTATATATTGCCCAGCCCTACATAGTTTGTGCCATATTTAAGCATTATCACTGTATTGTCTGTGGAGTGGTTTGAATGCACATTTTGGTGGTTCTTTAAAAGGCATATTAAATATGAGATGGCTCTGTAATGTGAACAGCTGTGATTCAAATGTGAGTTGAAGTTGTTACTGGGAAATGTGAGAGTGTAAAAGGCATTGAATCTGTTTGAAAGTCATCTTTTTCTGTAAAATATGCTTTTAATAACTCAGTATTTCATTGTTTCTTCTGTGTTTTAATTATCATAAATCTATCATTTAATTCACTGTCTTGCATTATCTCACCGTCACACAGTTCTGCTTAAAGATGTTATTCTCTAAAGAGTCACATTTGAGAAAAGCGTGAAGAGAAATGTCAGAAATGGTTTTCAGAAAATAAACATTCACACCAAACAGAAGTTTTTTTCTTTAATGCAATTACATTTTAAGAGTTTCAGTATTCAATCAGAAATACAATTAATATATCAATCACTCCAAGTTTGGTTGTACTTGAGTAAAAGTAGAAGTACTTAGATCTTAGATAAATGGATAGGATAGATGAGAGATAGATAGATAGATAGATAGATACTTTATTGATCCCAATTTGGGAATGTTTTCCAAATTGTTACCATCTCAAAATACAATCATATAATATTCTAAATCATCTGTTTTATATCTGTGAATGTACATGAATACAATAATGCACTATTAACCATTTAAAATAACATTTACTGATAATACTAACAATATTTGTACTTAAGTATAGTTGTACATGCAGGATATGTATTTATGGGTTATTTGAACACACTGTATTGATGTGTTCTTTTACTTCAAGTACTTTGTTGTGCTTGTTTGTAGCTACATGTCTGTTCCTGTCTTCCTGTAATATGTTCTCCTGTGTAACTTGATCGAAGGGAGCTGCAAACAGGGAGGGACCTCGAAAGTGAAAGTAAGTGAGTAACAGACAGACTCCATTTCACACGTTGACAGAGCAGCAGAAAAGAACAGGGTGAGTGTTAAAACCAGGCTCTGCTGGGGTTTCCTAAACAATTCATGTTTACTCTGTTTGACTTTATCTCAGAAAAATACAGTCTCGATAAAAAAGCAACGTCTTAGAGTCCGATGTGGCATATTGAAATGTTGTAGGTCTAAACTTCCCCTTTCACGTCCGTGTGTCTGCGCCATCATGGTTACATAACTATACAGACTTATGTGTTGTTGTTTGGTGTTTGTTGATTTAAAACAAAAAGTAATCGCGTAAATCACGATCATAAACTGTGATTCATCTTCATAAATCAGAAGTTTTAAATATTAGTAGGCCTGTTAACTCAGGGTTGCCAACTCTCACGCATCTGGCGTTTGACACACGCTTTCACTCTCAATCTCACGCTCTCACGCTGCCCAAACTATTCTCACGCCAAAACAAGAATACGAAGACTAGAAACGGTTTTGAAAACTTTTGTCACGTAGTGATCGTCTTCTCAATAGAACATCTTTGATAATGTCTTCTGGCCAATCAGAATCACGATAACGGCGTGGTGTTGTTGCAGGAAGTCCCGACGGAGAATACTTTTGCGGTAGTACATCTCTATACATCGATACAACATTACGTGTTGATAGAAATCAACACGTAATGAAATAAGACCCCACGGTTTGATGATTGATAGGTGTGTGGGCTGTCTTTCATTTTGACACACAGAACAATGGGGGCTATCCACCCTTATCCACAATGTAAAGTAATTCACACAGCCTCTCCCCCTTCTCTCTGTGAGGAGCAGCAGGTTCAGCTTTCAGAACAAAGTACACAAAACTAAAATGGCATTCATTTTTTTAAATATGTCATGTAGTAATAGATTTATTTATTTTCTTCTCGAAGGAGTACCAGAATGTGTATTTTATGTTAGT